GAGCATGGATTATTATGTTATTACTGACCCTAATCCCCCTTTTTTCCCTTTGTTCTGTCAGCACCATTGTTCTCAGAAAATTTCTGAGTTAAAACTCTCTCAAGATTTACCAACGCACTTAAAAGCACTGCAGCATACCAACCACCACAGAAAGCAAATGGCACCGGAGATGAAAGATTCCATGTTTTGATCATAGCACAAATATCAGTGCTGTTAGTTGGATTTTCTGCATTGGAGATTTTATTCTGATTGCTCTGACTGACAGAGGACTGAGATTAATTCATGGTCTTTCCATGACTCATCTAACCTGCCACCTCTCATTAGCATTCTGTCATATCTCCATGAATTCTGTTGCAATTGAAGGCAATAGGAAACAAGAGGAATGAGTTTTCTTCTCAAATAACTCAGCTGAGGTGAAAAAGCCACCAAAATTTCTAATCACAATGGGTAATATTTTTAATTAGCTATTTTCTGCATTGCACTTTAGTATAAAATGGTCTGTTACTGTAGAAAGCTCCTCAGTAACTACATTTCTACTCAGAATAAAATGCTCAGTATCTATGGTCATGTTTCTTGCCTTATTGACACCCTGGATGTTTACTAGTGTGAACAGTAAAGTACATGTTTCACAAGTACTTAGAGAGTAAGCATATACTAACCTGCACCTTATTAAAAAAAATGACAGGGGAAAACCTGACTTTTGATTATCTTAATTCTTATTATCTGAAAAAAAAGGATTATAGAATAAATTTTCACATACTTTTTCTTGTAAATGACCTAGTGAGGACTTTCAGCAATCCTGTAGTTATTTTTAATAATAAAATATATATATTAAATATAAATATAACAACCCATTACATTGCTCTTCCTACGTAGATAGATAGTTTTAATTTCTGTTTTAAAAAAAATATTTGACTGAATCACTTTTATAAGAGAATATATGTTTTAAATATCTGCTGGGCTAACTGTAAGCATCTTCCCGTAACTTCTGTGTTACAAGTCAGTCTAGAGAAGACATTGTCTTCATATGACAGCGTATACACTTTCAAGACACACCTAGGATAATCCAAGTGAAGAAGTCATTTTCCAGCCTTTGAATGAGGTATTTGCCTGTAGCACACAGGTGTCTCAAATGCTTTATCTAAACATCACATGGACAAAGCTATCCCAACATGGGAAAAGTATTAGAAAAAGTTTGATTTTGGTTATAAAGCACTGCTGAAATCAAGGAGGTATCGGTAATGAAGAAGACAGTATGAAGGTAGTGGGAAGAAAAGGCAGCTTCAGAAAGGCTCTCCTTCAGCAGCCAAGGAAGCTGTGACCTGTGCTGAGAGTGCTGGGAGGACTGAAAGCTTGGGCTGTCTTTTTGGTAGCACAAGGAAGCTGCTGCAGTGACTGGAGGAGGGGTGGCCTTGGTTCCTCTCATCCATCCATTTGCAAATCTACAACTAGCCTTTGATTTTCAACTTTGCACCCTTCCATCTAGGCACTAGGAGGCTGTTGCAGCAATGAATCTCCCTTTCTTCTTGCTGGTTGTTTCATGCCTTTGCACCTCACAAATCATGAGAGTTCAGTTCTAAAGAAAATTATGTAACTGTTACGGAAAAGGAATTTTAAGGGGAATTATGCTGTACTGGAGAGGATCCTCATCCCTGAAACACCCTGTTACTCCTCTTCCTGCCTGGCCATTGAAGAATTTTCTCTCTGTCTTTTTTAACAAAGAGAAGATCTTACCTTTAGAGCCAATGTATCTGGCTATGAATGCTCCAAAGAGAGCTCTGTTCATATAAGACTGTCTCGACATTCCTTGCACATTTTCCAGGTCCCAGTTGATCAGGTCTCTGACCCCTTCACACAGGATATTCCTTAACTGCATTTAACTATTTTGGAGACTACCTAGTATTTATCATATACATTACAAATTCGTTTCAATATTAATTTCCATGCTCATTTTATTATCTCTTCTCTGTCAGGCTCGATGGTACAAAACAAGTGCAATTTTGTATATGCAATATAATTTTGGGGTTTTGGTTATATCAGCTAAGTGAAATGCACTATACAAAAAAAGCACCTTCAAGTACTTAAATTAAGCTTTCTCCCTTCAAAAGTTCCTTGAGTAGTGTTTTATTTTGAAGTTCTTAGACTCTCAAATTTAAAAATTTTTTGACTGCTTAAAAACTGCTGGGCTTTATATATTGCTTAAAACCTTTAATTTTACCTAATTTTTCCTGTCCTGAATTCGGGTAATGATGGTCTGAAAAGCACACACAAAAGCAAGACAGATTTGTTATTACAAATATGGTTCTCAGGGGAGCTATTCACACAGCAATAATTATCATATGAGCTTAGAAATTTATTTCTGCATCATTATTTGTTTTGACTTCTTAGATTTGATGACAGATTTTGGATATGAGTTATATCAATTAAGTAATTATAAAGTTTTCAATTACCAGTTGTACCCAAATATCATTAATAATATCAAAGAATTTCCTGCATCACCAACCAGTTTCTCTAAAAAGTAAATAAATTAATAGAGTAATCCGCTTGCTGATGTCCGTTCTATACACTCATTTAAGGCTACACAAACTGATACTTTCATTGTTATAGGTTTTAGAAAGCTAACTGCCAAAGAGAATTTCGTTTGCTAAGTATAAGATCATGCCAGAACAGCTCTGCATTCATGCAGAGGTCTTTTCAGTGCACAATGTCAATGTCACCCAGTTCTCTACAAAACAAGCAACATCCTTTTTGTAGCCTGAGCTGAGGACTGTCAGGCTGCCATAGCATACTCCCATAATGGCTTCTATTCCTCCAGCCTTGAGTTTCTATATGCAAATACAAGCTCCTTTATTCCTGAAGTAATTACTTTCACTTAATTAATGTAATTACAGCTTCAAAGACTCATATCTCCACCTCACAATTCATCAGCCTACACGGGGCTAGCCCAAGTACTTATTCTAGGGAAGCAGATGTTTTCACTCTCCAACCATTCATGGGTATTTCTGCTAAAAGTACTCATTGTAAGTTGCACTGTCACCTACCCTTGCATCAGGATGAATTCAGACAATTCTATACATAATCCCACATGTTTTATTTTAATTTACAGTAATACATCTTCTCTCACCTAACTCCATGGAAATTTGGGGATGAGAAAATAAAACCAAACATTGCAGGGTTTTAATTCAACAAAACTGCTGCTGTCCATCACTTACAGTAATTTGGAAGCATCATGCATCTGTACTCTTCTTTAGGCCAAAAACAGGAAGAGGGAAACAGTAGAACCAAATTGCATCTCACATGAAACATCACAGCAGCAATACATTTCAGAGTTGCCTGAAAACTGCAATTTCTATGGTTCATTTACTTTCTCTTTTTATGAGTCCTTTTCCATATACTGTTAGTTGCATTAAATTCTGAAAATATGTTGTAAAACAGTAGTACAATTTCACGTATCACCGTGCCAACGCAAATGTGCAGTGGAAAGGTTGTGAAAGGATTTACTAAGTATACATACACTGCTGGTATTGGCAAATATATAACAATTAAATAGCTGTCAATGAAATATTTGACAGTTAATTTATTGTAAATAGCTGCTGTTTTTACATAATACACTTATTTTCCATATATAATGTAGAGACCTAGAAATAATTAGGTACCATCGCAATTCTTCTTTGCTGTTGTTGAATGATTTTTTTGTGGGTTTGGTATATTAAAGACCATTTTTGCACTCTGTGGGCTATTACATAAAGTAAACACACATCACTAGAACCAGTCAAGTATTTTTCTGTTTATAATAATTATATAATAATATAATAAACCAAAGAAACCCCAAAAAAACTAAACAGGTAAACCCAAATGTCCATGCAGAAAAACTAATTTTTGTTCTTTGAGATAAATCAAAGGAATATCTTTAGGGGAGCTAGTAATTGTCTTAAACAATTCACCTTTAATGAAATATTAATTTAGAAATATTCACTAAGAGAACATAGACATTTTACATTTTAATATGAAGTTATATAATGTATCAGAAAAATGATAATATAAAAATACATGGTAAATAAAATATCAACTAAACCGAGATGCATTAGTTAAATATTAAATGACTGCAGAATTCACAAGACCTGTTAAGGTAACTTTTTCTGCCCACCCTTAGGTAAAACTACTGGGATGATAACTATATCTAACAATAACAATAATAAAATTGTTAGCAATACAGTAACTAACAATAACGAACAACAGCTAGTAAGGTAAAAATGTGAGCATAAGTTGTCTGTATGACTGAAGACTGTCTGAGAAAGTATTGACCCAAAACTGATCCGGATGATGACCACCATCAACTACTCTAAACAGGACCAAATTAATTACAAGGAGCTTTTACAGGAGAAGTCAGTTTGAAAAGAAATATAAGAGTAGGATGAAAATTTGTAATAGAGGAGATTTATAATGGAGTCGAAAGAGCAGCAGCCAAACCCTGGTTATGACATGCCAGAAATCATCTTGCTGATGCCACAACCACTGCACAGACCAGACAGCAGCACCCCCACTGCATGCTACCAATAACCAGCAGCCAGCTGGTGGGCTGACGATTTGGGGTGCTACAAGGAGGGTTGATTTCTCTTGGTGTGTTTAACAGATTGTAGGCAGTGGTATGTGTACACATAAAGCTGGAGCTGCATGTCTTCCAAACTTGCTTTCCCATAAGGGGCAACACGTATTTCTCTGGATGGGGAGGTACTGAAACTTTTGGGAATTACTCATAGAAGGGTGTTTAGGAATGTGTACCTGTTTATTAATGTTTTGTATTTTGATTCATCTGTTGGATTGATGCTGTTGATCCTGCATATCTACTTCACTGATTGTCAGCTAATTACATGTCATTAATAAATCAGTACACTGCTTCAATATTGTGAACAGAGAGTTTTACCCTCTGACAATCCATTTGTGGTGGCTAAGCTCACATATTCTAAGACAAATTCACATATTTGAAAAATTGTACTCACGTAGTATGATCAGTTAATGGGCTGTGTTGCTCTTGCTCAGGGTAGAGATTTGCCCCTCTTCCAAGTTTCCACTTGAATATGTTTGTGGTATGTATGGAATAACTTCCTGACATCTGTTCAGAGGCTGGTTGATGCCATCCACAGAGGTTTTTATCTTCAAAGTCACAGACTTCCATAACTTTAGAGATGAACAGTTATTACTTCATGTTTATATAAAGATTGAAAACCATTAGGTGATGGTACAATAGAGTAAGCAACATGGAAACACAAAGGATTCAGTTTATAGTAACCATGAATACTTGCACAGTACTAATATGCATAGTTTTTTCTCTTAGATAAAACATCAATTTTCTATGTTTTCTATTAGGCAGATTCTAATTTTGGCAATATACCAATTCATTTGCACTTCAATATCTACCTTCATATGTGTTCTGAACAGCTTTCAGGTCATTTTAAAAATCTGTCCTATGATATACGTAGAAAGGTGTGTAAAATTCATCAGCTGCAAATCTGTGAGCTGCTGTGGGGCTCTTTCTTCAGTCCTGTAGACTGGTGACATTAGCAAATCATTGCACATTGTGTACAAAGTCCATGACCAAAACTCTAAAAAAAACCCGAGTATTTCAGGCAGCTATTTGGCACTAGTGTCAAATACTGAATTGTTATCTTATTAAATAAATATTCAGTTGCCCATCACTGAAGCTGTGATTCCGGAATAACTGGGTAAGAAAAGTAAGCTCAGTACTGACCTTCCTTAGGGGAAAGAAACCCACATATTTTCCATTTCCTCTGTGAGTACTAATTCTCCAGTACATCTTCTTGAGTATTTTACAGAAACTTTGTCTACATGATCCAAATTGAGTCTAGCCACTCTCTAGAACTTTGGAACAAATTATTATACTGAAGTCTAAGTGAGTACTGTGAGAATTATGCAAGGGAAATGAGAGTTTATTTTAACACATGAAGCTTAAATGTTTCATCAAGAAATTACAGTTTGTTAGGAGAATGTGCCTGATGTTTCTTTCCTTGGAGGGTAAAAATGGTAGAGTAAGGAGAGAGGAAGTTTTGATTTAAAGCTTGTAAATCCTCAGTAAGGAAGCAAACTGAAGCCATTGTGATCTCAAGAGTTGCCCATATAAAGATTTGAGATGTTTCCTGAGAATGAAGAGTGGTATAGCATAAAGAGTTTATTCCCCTTTTTGAGGTGCTTTGTAAACATTATGTTTCAAGTGCCTCTGACAAAGATAACACCTTTCTGAGAATATTTTTGTTTCAGTCAGGACATACTTAACTCCTATTCCAGTACTGTCGTTTGAAGGATAAATTACCATCTTAATGATGGGAGACATCACACAAAGGAAATATGTAAAGGTGTATTCTACACAGTATTTATCTTGCTCAGGTGGAAGGAATGTTTTGTAAGATAATGCAAATTTCAGAGGGGAAAAATAAAAGTTCTATTCAGAGGGCTCTGCTTTATTTTTCAGGGCAAGATTTCAGTGGTTGGTGTGTTTTCACACTACAGGAAACTACCCAGTGACATTTATATATCAGATTCATTTTTCCAGTTATTCCCACGTAAGAAATAGACATAGTGAATCTAGTGTTACTTCTCCTCTCTGAGCCCTCAGCCCTGAGACAGGTAATTGAGTTCCCTACACAAAGTGTAATGAATTCAGAGTTTTGATCTTCAGTGAACATAGTTTTGCTTGCAGAGGCTGAGGAGGTCACTCTCCGATGTTTGTCCCCCTCATTAATGGGCTTCCATAAAGCAGTACTTTCAAGTACTGTGCTTTGAGGCAAAAGAAAGTCATTAACAGCTTCTTGTAAAATGCTATAGTGTGAATTGCTGCAACTCAGAAGCAATCAACAACTGCCTTAGACCTTTATGGACAACATATGGGGACCTTGTCCACTGTCTCACTTCCAATGTTCCCATCTGACTACCAGAGCTTTACAGGCTGTAACTCACTTCTTAGTGGAATAGGCTGAATTTCACAATCATTGCTGCTGCTGCAACTACTTTGTATGAAAAAAAAAATACCCTAACAAGAAAAAAACCCCATATTTATTAAAGTAGGTAAGAAGTGGATCCCATTCTCCCAGATGTCCATCTGAAACATGAGACAGTAAACTTATTCTCTCTTCCAGTCTGGACCAGTGAACATTTTAAGAAACAATGCTGACTTAAAATTGTCATGTACCCATCGTTAGGGAACTGAGGATTCCTTCCCCTGTCGCATTTCATTAGTAACTTGAAATGTCAAGTCTGAATCGCAAGGCAGAAAGTGCATAACATTGCAGATCCCCATGTTAGGAGTAAAATGCAATTATTTTTTTCTGGGGAAAATCATGTTAAAAATACCAAATTCCAAAGGTAAACAAATAGCAGCTAAAGCAATGTGTTTATCAGCCAGAAACTAGTAAGATAACAAAGTATAAGGTTTCATACACTTACCACAATCTGATTCATCAGACTGATCAGAGCAGTTAGGTCTGAAATCACACTTCTGCGTCATGTGGATGCAGCGACCAGAGGCTCTACAGACAAACTCCTTCTCTGTGCAGTTGTTCATGGGGAGTGTGGCAGGAACTGAAGTTCCTGAAGTAGTTGTAGAGACAGTGGGCAAGTTTCCTTTGAAAAACAAAGCAATAGAATGTTGAGTGCCCGGATCAAGGCGTTCTAGCTTCATAATGATTTCTCCCCTTGCCCCTCCTACCCTTTGTCAAGGGTATAGATTTATTGGAAACATGCCTGGACAGTCGAGTTGAATGTTGCTCAGCAGGAGCTAAATTGAACATTTCCTCAGTGGAAAGCACTAGTTTTGTCATACCAGCCAACCACAATCCATACAGTTTTCGATACTTGCAGGAATTTATTTACACCTCTTGCCTGTCTTTCAAATTTGGATTAACTGAGTGAGTCATTTCAAAAAATTGATGCCACTGAGACTGAAAAACAATCACAGAAACTTATTTTCCCTGTGAACCAAGGCTAACAGATTATTCTGATGATAATGGTTTTTTTTTTAACATGTCGATTACTGCAAGTGACTGTGGAAATTACTATGTAACCTTCTTACCTTGTAAATTCATCACTGAAAAAAAATTCTTTTCTCATTAAAGAAATTATTCTGAGGTCATCACCTTGTTCCACCACCTCCTTTATGCTTCGTTCAAACTCATTACCACTTCTTTCAAATCAATTGTCTTTTCCTCTTATACTTTACTATGCACCTTTCTTCAGGCTTACTCTCATTGCTTGAAAACCTTTGCTATTATTGTCCATAAAAAGAATTTTCATTTATAAAACTCCTTTTTAAAATTTAATCCTTAATGAAATTATAAGCTGTAGTGCACAATGCACCTGAGCAATACACCTGAGTTAATTAAAAAGTACATGTGATGACTTTTTATATTAAATGTGTCTGGGACAGCAAGGATGGTTTTGCTCTTTTTTTTTCTTGAAGCCTGGAGCACTAAGAATGACAATAAATTACACACAAACAGGAGCCATCTCTATTTCAGAAGGTAGAAAGCAAATCTAAGATAAATAAATTACACTCCAATCAAATGAATGGTACTTCCATAATATCTTAAGATTCAAACAAAAGACTTGAGGGAAGAATCCTTTTGAAGGAAGAATTGTATGAATTAATATATTTATCTACAGCTCATAATAATAGCAAAGACCTTATTGGTTAAAAATTTTTAAATATAAATGCCACATTCAAGTCTCCTAATCCACTGGAATGGGAGAAGAAATTTGGAGTATTGTAACCTTTACTACACCTGAGAAGAAAGGAAGATCTGACACTTTCTCTATTATGAAACAATTAATTTTCTGTGGTTTATGAAATACCATTTTCCAGAACAAGCATCATAACCTTTGGTTAGAGCATTCAAATAATGTATTGAAGCGGTACACTCAAAATTCAACATCTTTTATATTAATTATGAGGGACTTTACCACCAAGCTATCAAACCCATCTCTTCCTAATCAGTTTTTGGTTACTTAAAGTGGAACAAGAGTAATTGGGCAGCTAGTAATTAATTCTAGGTTGCAGGGATATGGAAATCCTGCTTTTTCAACCTGATCCAACTTCTGTTAATTACGGTGGAATATACCATATTTATTGTCTATTTTTTTAGGCTTTTCCCACAGTCTCTTTGACTGTTTTTTGGTTGTTGGGATATTTTTATGGCATGGAGGAAATAAAATAAAGGTAGGACCCTGGAGTGCCTCAAAAATTGCTTTAAAACTAAAAACATTTTAAAAATATACAGAACACATAACCTGATTCCTGTCCACCATTATACTTGAGTATTTTTGTTTTATCTTTCCATACAAAATGACCTTTTTTTTCCTTATTTATGAACTTTGAAACTCTGACCCTCTATACTTTTCAAATTTCTCGTTTGATTTATTCTCTCTCACAGTATCCTTCTGGACAAAATGTCCAGCAAACAGCTGGATAAACACATCATGGGCTGGGTAAGCAATTGGCTCATGGGTCAAGCACAGAGGGTAATAGTGAATGGTGTAACATCACACTGGAGACCTGCCACTAGTGAGGTTCTGCAGGGCTCCATCTTGGGCCCTGTGCTCTTCAACATCTCTATAAATGACTTGGATGTAGGACTGGAAGGGATACTAAGCAAGTTTGTAGATGACACAAAACTCAGAGTAGCTTTTGACTCCTTTAAAGGCAGGGAGGCCCTGCTGAGAGACCTTGATAAATTAGAGGACTGGGCAATCACCAACCATAGGAAGTTCAACAAGGGAAAGTGCCGGATTCTGCCCCTGGGATGGGGCAAGCCTGGATGTTCAGATAGACTGGGGAATGAGATACTGGAAAGCAGTGCTGTGAAAAGGGACCTGGAGGGTCCTGTCTGATGGCAATTTGAACGTGAGTCGGCAGTGGCCTGGCAGCTAGGAGGGCCAACCGTGTCATGGTGGCATCAGGCAAAGCATCACCAGTTGGTTGAGGGAGTAATTGTCCTGTTCTATTCTGCACTGGTGCAGCCTCACCTTGAGCACTGTGTGCAGTTTTGGGCACTGCATTATAAATAAGATGTTAGGTTACTGGAAAGTGTACAAAGGAGGGCAATGAACATGGTGAAAGGCCTTGAGGGGAAGCCATATGAGGAGTGGCTGGGGGCACTTGGTCTGTTCAGCCTGGAGAACAGGAGACTTCATTGCAATCTACAACTTTTTCATGAGGGGAAGAGGAGGGTCGGACACTGCTCTCTTCTCTGTGGTGACAAGTGACAGGACCTGAGGGAATGGCTTGAGGTTGTGTCAGGGGAGGTTTAGGTTGGATATTAAAAAAAAATTCTTCACCTCTAGGCTGGTTGGGCACTGTAACAGGCTCCCCAGGGAAGTGGTCACAGCACCAAGCCTGACAGAGTTCAAGAAGCATTTGGGCAACGCTCTCAGGCACATGGTGTGACTCTTGGGGATGGCCCTGTGCAGGGTTAAGGACTGGACTTTGATGATCCCTGTGTGTTCCTTCCAATTTGGCATATTCTGTGAAAATTTTCTTTCATAACTCATTTGAAAATATTTAAGGATTTTTTGACTTGTCCATTCAAGATATTCTTCCTGAGATATAAGGCATTGTACATTAACTGAGTATTTAAAAAAACCCACTTTATATTCAAAATGTTATAATAAATACTGTGCACTGTATAAATTTGCTAAAAAGTGAGATAATTATCTACAAAAGAAGTGCCATACACACTTCATATTCCTAGTATACATAGTTATATCGACAAGAAATTTTTGGAGTAGCAAAAATGCATCTGCACTAGGGTTTCTTGGGGTTAGTGCTAGGATGCTAATATTTAGACACTAGTACTGTCATGACTTTACATCAACTGCCACACCACATATAACCCTGTAATGCCTGTTGCAGCTAACAGCAGTCCTCTTAATCCTTCTGTGATGAAGGATTTATGTCTGGTGTCTTGAAGTACATGTATTTTGCAATATAATATTTTACAATTCTGTAGACATGTACTACCCTTAGTAACAAGGATTTCTGAGAACAGGTTGCTTTATCATCTGAACTATTTGTGTACTGTCATGTGAGAGCAATTGGCACAGTGAATACATGAAGAATTATTGAGGGGAGGTGGAAGGTTGCATCCAAGTGAATAGGCTGAATGAAAGTTTAGGTTTTTTACACACAGTTAAATTTCTTTTTCCTTCTAGGAATCAAGATCTCACAGAGTTTGGAAGCTGCACATTTCTCGCTGAGGATCTGCTTTGGGCCTCACTAGCACAGCAGAAACTATTTTGTGCTGATGCCTGGATATGAGGGAAGCAGGGAAACAAGTCTGAATTTCCTTGTCAGGCATGAGTAACGGTTTGATCTGGGTTTGCTTTTCTAGTAGCAATATTTAGAAATAACACCAATGAATCAGCTCACAGCTAGGAGCTGTACAGTTCAACTCTTACCATTGTAAAGAGTACAGCCTAGAAAAGACATGTCATCAAGTCCAATGTCTCCAGTGAAACCATCGCCTACAGTACCTTCCACCAAGATCTAGGGGAACAAGAATTACAAAAACATTTTTCAGTATATAGTAGACTTCCACTACTCATTAAATATTTAACATGAATTGATACAGGAGTCATTTGCCATGTTTTACACTTAAAATGAAATTAAATTTATTCTAGGGGAAAAAATTCTATTTAGAGACACTTTACGAAAGAGACTAATTATTATCAGCTTTCAGTGGTGGTTACATTAATCACAGCGAACTGTAACAGAAGGATTGGCTTCACAACGGTGTAAATTCACTGAAACATCATTGTGATATAAAATGATGGCAAGACATTATCATAAGTGGCATATTATGATTAGCTCCTTTGGTACTTATTGCAGTAACATTAATCATGCCTAAATATAGTAACATTTATTTGAATAAATTATAGACTCTTACACAAATACCAGTGTGATGAAAACAATTAAGCAGATTAGAGAAGAGCTACGGAACCTTTTAAAGATAAATTTTCTTTTATTTCATAAGAGTTGTCAATGCTCTATTTGTTCACTTTCTTGTTATTGTCTACTGCCAAGGAATGAAAGAGGTTAGTGTTTGTGAAATATTCTTTGGAACACTAAATAAGCCTCTTTTCTTCTGACTGTTGCTGAATGGTAAATATCCAAGCAGGTGATTATGGAAAGATTACTAAGAATTGTCTTAGTTTAACTAATAGTTTAATCTCTATTCATAAAAATAAAAAAGCCTTCTCGAACCATGCAATTTGAAAAAAAGATAAATGGATGTTTTTGCCGATCCAATGGAGTTCAAATGTTAAAGTTATTTCCTTGCTGCTTTTTAAAATACTTCTGTCACATACTATATACATACATTCAAGCTTCCAGCTTATTCTGAAATGCTGTGTAAAATTTCTAATGTATTTTTTACAGTTTGTTCCTCAGTTCAACAGAAAATTCCTGCCCAGGAATAAAGACAAATAGCCGCAAAAATATGGCAGTCCTGCTCCACAATACTGTCAGTTCTAACTTTTTTTTGTAATTTACTTATTTGCAATTTTTCTGCTATTCTGAAATTGCATGTGAATTGTAGATTTATTACTGATACTGACATCACCAGAGTAAATAAAAATGATTACATATCATTTATACTTGATGTCCATTAGATAAAAAAAATGAGTATGCTAAAAGAAGACAGGTATATGTCCCCTACTGTGGATACGCTTAAGATGGGTTATTTTAACATGAAATATATCTAATGTGAATGACAACAGTAAATGACACAATTGCCTCTTATTTCTCTCATCTCAGTATAGAATTCTTATTTTTACCTCAGAATACTCATAATATTCTTTACAATATTATCTCAGTCTTTGTTTCCTGTTTAGATTAAAGTGTGGGCAATGTTACAGTACGGGTACCAATAGCAATAAAATGATTAGAAACAGGACAAACCAAGACATCTGTTATTTGGAAATGCCATGCAAGAAAATTTATTATTCCAAAATTACTCCTTCCAGTGTAATTTTGACTGGCAAACACACAGCAGTTTATATATAACTTTGAATTTGTTTTCAAAGCATGAAATATTAACTACTAGTAATCGATTACTCATTAATTAAATTCAGACAAAGAGAAAGAGGCTTTGTTTACTCACACAATTATTACTAAGACAAACCCGGGTGCCCTCCAAACTACACTAATTTTCTTCCCTTGAGAAAGTTGCACTCATGGTACTTAGGCAGGAATGTGTTATAAAGAGATTAAAATTACCCAAAGCTAGAAGTGGCAGGACACAGTTCTGTAGGGGTAATTGAATTCAGAATACCTATGTACTGTTAAGATTGCATTGTTCAAAATCTCCCCACCCAATAAATAAATTAAAAATAATTTTTTAATTTATTTATGTAGCTGGGGAGTCTGATACTTTGGCATATAGCATGAACTCATTAGTAACACAGGAAATGTAACAGAGATGTAGGTAGAGACTTGAAAATAAGACCAATTTATGAGTTAATGCCTCAATATAGAATATAGTCTCTCTGCACCTGTGGTTAAACATTGACCACTTAAATTAATTTGCCAGCTGTAATTCTGAAAATTTCATAAGCTATTATTAAACAATCTCCAGGGAATTCATCCACCATGAAGCTCATTTCACATCTCATTTATTATTTGAATAAGAATAAATAGTTCCCAATTTCTCATTTTCAGAACCCTAGAGATCCAGTCTCAATGAAAACTGTAAAGGTATCAAAAGGTATTCTACATTAAAAAAAGAGGGGAAAAAACCTCCACGAAAAGCAAACTGTATTAGAATGAGAGTCCATATATATAAAAGGAATGACCCCTTACGATTTTGAACAAAATAGGCTTTGAAGAGTGAAGTAACACTTCCACAAGCGTTCACAAAGAAATTACAATGGGTAATATTGTTCTGTATAAATGTCCAATTTTTACAGCAGTGCTAATTTCTGTCACTAGGCAGTTCCCACTGAAGGTTAGCAAAATAAAATCTTAATTTCCATACAAGCATAGTTTAAGCTAAAATTGAATTAATTTCAAAATCTTTGAGGTATTAAAATGTCTAAAGATTCCTGAATGACTAGGAAATGGTGATATTAGTTCTAATGTATTTAAGCAGTGATTTAGTCGAACAATATCTTGGGATTGTCACATGAAGTGTCAACAGTGTTACTTAATGATTTTATTAGTTGCTTGAGCATGGTAATTTGGATTAAGTTTGCTATGATTATTTCTAGCAAGAAGTTGTGTGATTTGGTTTGAAGAAGAAATAACAACCAGACAAGTGGATAATAGCACAAATAACTGACAAAGCACTTTACCTTCAAAAACTTTTGTTGTAACTCACTGAAAGCAAATGCAAGATTGAAAATAATATACATTTCACTCCATATCTCTGAAGTAAACTACTCTTAGATGTTAATGCTAGGTATAAATAAAGAAAAATTTCCAATAAATTTTCATCAAGAAATGTAACAAATCCATTATGAGATGATAGAACTTCTGTAATTACAAAGGACAAGCCGTAGAATCAAGCCTCAAAACTCCTTTTTATTAAGATTCAATGATCATGTCACAATAAGTCTTTAGTGTAGGAAGATTCTTTTTCAAGAACATGTGAACATATTCTTATTCCTATAATAATATAAGTACATAAAAGAGGGAAACTATTTACCAAGTAAAGATGATTTTTTTCAGAAAAATTATGATTAAAAAAAAAATGGAGACATTTAGATTTAATTTTGACTTTTTGATCACTTATTAGTTCATGTCAAATAAGACTTGTTGATTTCTTTGATAAGTGAGTAAGAACACAGCAATGTATTCCTCCCTACCTTTTTTTTCCTCTGCTTTCTCAGCTGCAAAGTAGTAGGCACTGTGGGACCTGAGACTATTTCCTAAATCTCTCATCTAGATATCCAGTAGTTGCATCCTGGCTTTGTGGCATCGAACTTTTCCCCCGTACCTTCTGCAACATGGTTTCTCTTTGGAAAAAACCCCTGTGTGAACGCGCAGAAGTGTTGTCACAGCATGTTCCAGCTTTCCCCCTTATGAGGGGAATGACTAGGCAGTTAGAGCTGTTATTCTTTGTATGGAACCCTTCTGCCACCAAAAGCAAGAAGAAGTGGACACAGGCCGTCATCTTTTGGAGAGATTATCAACATTGGGTCACCACGACATTTTAACGATACACATAGAAAAGCTCAAGATCCCACTGCCTTTCTTCAAAGCCCATCAGCCCCTTTCTTTTGTAACAACCAAAAATGCTTTAGAAATTAATGTCTCAAGACTTCAAAAGTAAAAAAAGTCCTTTCACAAAGTTGCCCAAATGAATTGTTACCGATGTTCTTAAGGTTGAACACATCAAATATGAAAAATCTTGTGTCAAATATTTGATGTTTCACAGTGTTTGGTTTTATAAGATACTGAAAAACACTAGTTCTAGTTCAGTAAAGCACTTCATCACACTTCACTATAAGTTTGTGAACTCTCATGTTGATTTATGATGTTTTTCAAAGCATTTCTCTAAAGTGCAGAGATGAATCACAATTCTGTCCTGTTTTAGACTCTTCGGTGATGTTGGTGGGACTGCTGACAAGCATAATATTAATAACTGTTTACATATTCTTGGAGTCTTTGCTGTATTAAGGCCACAAAATTTCATTCAAGAGAAAAGATCCTGTTTTCATTCTGTCATATTAGCACTGGAAGAATTATTGCAGAAGTATTATATTGTCAGTGCCTAAAAATTTCTGAGATTCTAGGTTTTTTATAAACATGTTTAGCCTACCCACTTTGGAAACATCTATATAGCAATTATAATTCTAAAGCTATATTTAATACAATTTAAGGTCATGGTTAATTTTTTCTTAATCTACAATAATATACAGAAGTCTTCTTTCTTTTCTCCCAAACACCTTTTCCCCCAGACTTTGTAAGTAAGTAAGTAAATGAGTAAATAAAGAAATAACACGATTCTGGCTGAGTTACTATATCAAATTTCTGGGTCTTATGGTCCTGAAATGTCTGTTTTACACTGACCAGCATGACTTGCTATGATCTGAATACTTCTGTCCCTCCCTTTTGTATATTGGAGCATGTCAAGATATCAAGGGCTGCATAAGAACATTTCCACATCTCTGTGCTGAAATAGAGAAACCTGAATAAGGTTGAATGGACAAACATGTATCTGAGCTATGCAGTGTTACTGCTAAGGCAATTCTTCCATGCTGAGCTAAGGCATGTCCTAAGAGCAGACACACATTGCTTTCTTTTCAGTGCTTATGAAAACATCTGTGGCAGCAACACAGTGAATTATCTGTTTAGCAGCAAATGCTAGTGAGTAAGGGGATCACTACTAAATCTTTTGCCTAAAGAGGACCTTTCTTGATCCAAAGGATTTTTCCTGACTAAGTTACATGGAATTACTGTTCCTACATCCACACACATGGCCTTAACCTCCCAAATTAAGAAAACAATAACACAGGGATATCACTGGGACATGTGACTTGACATGA